CTTTAGGTCCAGCTCTGGTGCCAATGCAACCTGCAGAAACAGATTTCTCAAGCCTTCCCCAGTCATGTGTGTTACTGAAGCTGCACGTTGATTCTTCTCATTGAAGTAAAAAATTCCACTTCCCCAAAGGATTTAGCACCTCAAGTGTGATGCAGTGTATGCATAAAATCCAGAAAACATTCATACTTCCAATGTTCAACCCTACAGGTTAAGCTCTATATGCCCATGAATTTATGAGTTTAAAATTCCTCATGGTCCTTGAGCTGTGCTTATGTAGATATGCAGTAGAGCCTCAGGCTTCATGCTGTTAAGGATTCAGGTCACTCTTATCCCTTATCAGGATCCAGAAGCTAGGTGTTGTCCTGCCTGAATCCTCCTGAGGTCTTCATGTCAAAGACACTTTTCTGACTCACTTTCTGCATGTGTGCAAGATGAGGCTTCTCACAGGTTGCTTCAGCTTTCCTTTGCAATGCTCCTACCTTGAGGGGGTTTGGAGATGGTGCTCTTTTTTTACAAAGTAATAATAAATGAATGAGGCCAATCCTCTGGTGGCCAGGAATGTGGTGCCCACTCCTAGTCGTCCTGAAAAAGCTGGAAGCACACATCCCTGACTTCTCAGGAGATTCAGCAGTCCATGAGATATATGTAGTCAGAGAGGATACAACAGAGCTTGTTTTCACCCTCCTTGAGGCCAGAAAAGTGTGTATCAGAGAACACAAGGTTTGTGGGACTGGAAAAAGAGAGCAGCAGAGAATGTGAGTTCTCAACCTTGCAGCTCGGGTATTGACCTGGGAGAGCAGACACTAGGTTTTTGGTCCCTCTGAGGGTGCCTTTGTCCTTTTTTTGGTCTAGTGATCCACCCCAGTGGGCTGGAAATAATGGCAAACCACAATAACAATAGCCAACTAAACAAAACAAGTATAAACAGAAACAACAACTGAGGCTGGGAAGAAAAATGGCCTATGGGGATATTATTTAGAAGAGACTTCAGACTTTGATTTCCCAGGCAGAAAAAGATGGCAAATCAGCCAATATGATTCCTCAGTTCTTGAGAAAGAGGCAAACCATATTTTCCTAAAGCTTCCTGTAGTTGAAGTATTGAGCTTACTGTACTACAGTAAAAAGAGTAAGGAAGGAAAACAAGGTCAGTCCAAAAAGCAAGGCTGAAAACCTCATGACTCTGCACTGAACAGTTGAATATTTTTGAGCTGCTGCCTCACTGCGAGAATTCCCCTTGGCATCACATGCCTTTGCCCTGTCCCATGGGAAGGAGAATGCTCTCACAAGTTTCCTGAGCCCCATGAAGAAAGAAGAAATATCACTCTGGGTTCAAAAATCGTTATGCACATAATTATGTCATGTCCTGTATATTTACACAAGCACTGTACATAAAGAAAAAAGGAAGTTTGCCCCGGTTATACAATACAGTGTAGGGAGGCTGGCAGAAAATAAACAATTTGTGCTGTTATTCGTCGTGCCAAGAGGAGAAGCGAACAGCAAGGAAGGTATTTCTGTCCAGGTTCATGGCTTCTTCCTCCTACACTGTTGCTTCTCCTGAGTCAAAAAATGAAAAGTCACACAAATGACAATAGAAAGAGACAGAAAACTGTGGAAAAGAGACAAAAGCTGTCACACTTCCATGTTTTATTTCCCACGTTCTTGGTCTGAGCTCCTCTGCACACAGCTTCTTCCTCCACATTCCCTGCAGTTTGCCCTATCTTCAAATGGGGCAATTGCTGCTGAACTGAGCTGAGTGAGGTGCATGTTCTGGCTGGGAGCAGGAGCACAGGCAGGAAAAGCCAGGGTTGGTGCTCAGCTGGTGGCTGGGTTGGACCAACCTGGGCAGCCAGAGCTTTGGGAGCAGTGAAAAATATGAATTAAGCATGAGATAGATGGACAACAGAGATGGGGATATGCCGAGACCCGGAAAGAAAGGAAAGCTGAGATAGAAGAAATTCTGCTTTGACAAGCTACACCTGGAATTACATTCCAGGACACTGTCTGCTACCATGTGTGGAGGTTCTTCTGCAGAAATAAATCATTATTTTAGCTTGACCAATTTAAAAGTTTCTTTTCCGAATTAGCTTCTTTGCTGTAATGTAAATGCTATTCCTTCTCTGCACAACTCTCACTGTCTCCAAAATTTTTTTGAAGTTGTAAAGTTAAAACCTACTCTTTGGAAACTGAATTTAATTGTGGCATTTTCCCTCAGTATGTATCTGTAGCAAGGAGAACAGACATTTACATTTCTCTGTTTGTTTAGAAGTTTTGTGAAGAAATGTAGAAGTATGTGTTTTCTCCTCCCCCTTCTGCTCCTCAGCTAACCCTGTGGAACTCACTGCCATGAATCAAAAGCATTTGCCAGGAGTCAGAATTATATTGAATATTCAAGTGAGCAAGCACACATACACACATGCCAATATATATTTGCATATATATTTATATATAAACAGTAACTATTTTTAAAAAGCACAGTACCAACATCAAATAAATCTTTGAAACCACTGTAGATGGGACTTTGTAGACCTCTCTGCCTGGTCTGCCATGAGTTTCTACAATGGCCTGTATCAGCTCACATCCTAAATCCCCAACAACAAGCATTTGTGGGGGCGCTAGAAACACAGCAGATGACAACAACATAATGGTTTGTGGTAAAGGAGAAGAGGAATAAGTAAACACAAGCAAAGTATGCAAGTCACTCTATTAAAAGCATACCCATTGGACTGCTTCTCCTGCTTACAGCAGCCAAAAAGTTCCCTCTGCCTTCGTACGCTTAAAGCGCCAGGATACATTATTCAGCACATGAGTAATTCACCACATTCTTCTGGATACTAGTCACCTTTGAGCTGGACTCTCTTTCACAAAGTTCAATGGCAAAACCATGATTGTGGTTATACAGCATGGCAGAGCCTTGTGGCACCTTGCAAAACAAGGATCCTTGAGAAGTTCCCATGCAGTGAAGGCCATAGGACTGCCACATGGGTGGCACCTTACAGAGCTGATTACAAGGATCCCAGAGAAGATCCCCACGTAATGAAGGCCACAGGATCCCCATGTGGGCACAGAGGCACCTTGTTCACACCAGTTGTGCCTCAATTAATATAAAAACCACAGGAAGGAACTCAGCACCCAGTGAAGAGACAGCGTGGCTTTCACATGATCACCGGAAAATCCAGTTTGCCAACTGGATTTTCCCTCTTCACGTGGAATGATAATTTGAGTGTTGAATGATAATTTGAGAGCTGGATCCGAGAGCTGCCTCAGTACCTCAGGGTACTCTGCCCAATTGCTTCCAATGACCAGGCAGGGGCTGTGGCAATGCAGCCTTTTCTGGCTGGTGTTGAGATCAGTTGTGCTATTCAACTGTTAATACAAGGATATAGCACCCACCAATAAAGCTAGCTTCTCTGTCTTCTGTTTTTTAATGTATTCTAGTGCACGAATCTGCTGTGTGCGTTTCTGTTTGAGTTAGGCTAAATGCTGCTGAAGTAGATGGACATAATTATGGCCTTTCATTCAAGATTAACACAGAGTCATTAAGCTGGTTTATGCAACCAGGTAGCTGAGCAAGAGAAATATTTAAAAGTAGTATGAAGCAATTTCAGAGGCCAAAACCATGCAATCAGTGGGCCCTCGTTGAGAATAGGCATGGGAAACATAGAAACTAGAACTGTCTTCGTTCACAGGAGACCAAAACAGCTCCTAAACCTGCTGCCCATCCAATCCCAAGCACGACGTGAGCTGTTTGGGCTGAGTGAAGTGGCCAGGCTTGGCGCACTGAACGGCCTGGAACACTGCTGTTATTTACTTCACCCTGTGCTCAGGAAAATAAGCTCTGGTAACTCTCATTTACCATGACAGCACATGAGTGATTACTGAACACAGCGCCAACTTCCCCTCCTAGCAGAAAAACTCTGAAGAAATGCAGCACTTCTTCTAATTGCTGGATCAAAAAAGGATAATGCAGCAGTAATGCTGCTGGGAATTACATTCCATGTTCTCCAAAACATTGCTTTAGCATTTGTGGTTGTTCAGAGTTAGGTTAGACACAGCCAGATTATCTTGGTAATTAGCTGGGATTTCATTGACTTTACTGATGACTATCCTACGTATTTTCAAAAAGGAGGAATTAGTTGGTATATGGAAACACTTTTATGTGAAATGGGAAAGGCAAACTAAGAGAGAAAAAACAATTAAAGAAAAATCCAAGTTAGATTATAAGGAAAGAACTGGGACATACAAGAAAGGATTTAGGAGCCAGAGTTTGCAGGAATTTGAAAACTGGATTTTTAGTAAGTTGATGGTTAATATATCAATTTGAAACAGTGAACAAAATTTAAACTGAATTTTTCATTGGTAAAACTGATTTCCTTTGGAAAGTTCCAGTATACCCATTTTCTTTAAGCCTGACATTAAGGATTAGGTGACAATTGCAACCTGAGATCTGTACGCACATCAACGTGAGTTTCTAAATCAAATGATACTTCCATCTTCCAATAAAAAATACTGAAAAGGAGATGTGGTTTTGGGAGTGGGGGGAGGAGAGGACATTGTGTAAGACTTCTTTGGGGTCCTCCTGTTTTTCTATGACATGAGAAGAAGTCTGGAGGAAGAAAGTAATTTTGGGCAACGCTAAACGGGTGTGAACAGCTTACACCCATTTTGAAGGTAGGAGAGAACTCCTATACTTCTCGTATTCGTGCCATGAGCATTTTTCCTTTCCAGCTACTTGGCTGTGGATGGACTACCAGAATTACGTTCAGGCTACTGCACACTTCTGTTAAAGTCCCAGTGGCAGAGAAGCACCCTAAACTAATAATCTTTTCACATTTATTGTTTTAAAGAGGGCCGGATGCAGAAAGGCAAGGAACTTTCCAAAGAGACAATCCCTACTATGAAGAATAGACATTCTTAGCTTAATATAGCTGTGATTTCCAGCTCATCATGCAAAAACACAAAACTTTAATTGTTAAGAGCTACAGAGAGCACACACACACACATTAGGCACTTTGTTTTATTCTGCAAAAAAAAAGTCTTTTATATATAAACCATTTCATTCTCTCTCAAAACATTCTACAACTATACAGCTGTTTGCTCCAACATTTGCATAGGAAATACAACAATACAAAAATAAGGTAGGGGGGAGGCAAAAGAAGCAAAACAGCAACCAATTTATGCATGTGTTTCCACGTATAAACATTTGAAGCCTTACAAAATTATTTACATCATTTGTCAACTATTTACATTAAGAGCAACATTTCTAACTATAACAAACAAAACTATAATTTATCAAGTATATGTAAAATTGTCTTAAAAAAAAGTCTATCATATACCACAAATAAATAAAGACAAACAACAGTTTTAACAATGCTAGGTTTTCCTGTGAGACCCTTTTTTGGTATTTTGATTGTTTATTCTACCCTTTGGTTGACAGCTTAATATTACAGCTTGTGAACTACAGACACTTTTACTTGGTTTGTTACGTTTTCTCCTGTTGCCTGGCCAAATCCTGCACGGTCTAACCTCATCTTTGGCCCTTCACTTAATGTTTCAAGGCTGAACACTGTGGATCAAAGTCATTGTTAGCATAAAAGGGCACCACTTCACTGACTTCAGAGGAGTTTCAGCTACCTTTGTCAGCAGTTAATTTTCCCTGTGTGTATCCATTTGAACAGTGGATAAACTAAACTGCACTGTAATTTTAAATAACATTACTGTATCCTTTACCTTCTAGTAAATTACATGCAATATCCACGTGAAAACAGATCATACTGGTGCTGAACCAGCTTAACATGTCCGTATATGAAAATTGCATCCTAAATCCTTCTTTTTAAAGTGATACTAAGTTTAGCTTATAGTAAGAGGTTTAACATTCTGTATACTGTAACTATCCCCCCCTCCCCATTTAAGCTTCCAACATTTACTTTCCAGTTCACTTTAAATGTTTCACCCTTTTAAGCAATTTGAAAACAAAATCCTGCTTTGAATATTCAGTGCACACCATCTGAGTTAACAGGTACAAAACATCTGAATGTCTTGCTCATTTCTCTTAAGAGAAATGAAGCTAAGTTGGTACTGTTCTGAGAGGTATTTAAGTAACTTTCTGTGTAAATGTGCCGTTAACAAATGTAAAACAACTGTTTTTTTTTCCAGATAATTCTTAGAAAATTTTTCTTTTTACCCTAAAAAGCTGATTTGCATATTTACAAAATCTTTGTCATAGCAAACATGCAACATACAGAACAAAATACTTTGTTCTATGGCTGTTTATGAATTTTTCTATGTATTTTATCTCCACAGAACGACTTAACATTTAAAAAAAAGCACAAGTACTAAACAAATCCAGTAAAACCCTGACAGATTACAATGCATGGCTTTTCCACTGTGTCCATTCATCTGCAGTCTCTCATTAATTTGTTTACTAAACATTGTCACAATAATGATAGTGCTTTGGTCAAAACACCTAGAGAGAAAAAAAAATATATGTGTAACGCTGCCATGTGTCAAGACATAATACTTGTAAAGAGATGAAACCTGCTGACTAAAGCCATATACACCCACGTGAGCAAACCAACGACTTGAACACTCTGGTATTGCGATACAGTGTCTTCCCTTTTTCTGCATAAATATACAAAATATACATTTTCCAGTTTTGAGATTTCTTTTAAACGGATGATCCATCCTCAAAAATTAAACTAATTTCGGTTGTAGGTTGAGAGTCATTAGGAAATTGCATAGATACAGAACAGCCTCGGCAACAAGCCTGGCTTTCAGTTCTGATGCCTCTTCATGTGCAGAGCCAGGTGATCGGAGCGAGAGAAGCTGCGGTTGCACACGGCGCACTGGAAGGGTTTAGCCCCGGTGTGCTTCCTGTAGTGGCGCGTCAATTCGTCGGAGCGCGCAAATCGCCAATCGCAGCCCTCCCACGTGCACTTGTACGGTTTTTCACCTGAAATCAGACAGAAGGAAGAGAAACATCAGCTGCGCATCTTCTGAAGAGAGCTGGCGTGAGGCTGACACGAGTAACAGCGCTGCTCAATTTAAAGGAAACGACAACAGAAAAAAATCTCCTGTTTCCTAATTCACAGGCATGTTCTGCGGGCCCCAAATGAACAGCCCCTTTGTTTATTCTGAGCTTTCTGCTCAGCAATTCTGCAAATTAATACTTGGGTAAAATGGCATCAGGAAGAAAGAAGAAACTTTCAAACATAAGCTGGGCACTTATACAAATCAGGGACAGTTACGATAGAGAAATGATCAGAGGTTTAGAAAAAACCTGCGTGAGACTGAAATATGCTCCCTCACATTCGTCTCAGTATGAAAGGGAGTAGAGAGAGGAAAGCAGTCTCACATGACAACCTGGCCCAGTTTGTAACTTATGCTCGCACCTTTTAAAAAAGGATAAATTAAGTTTGAGTGAGCTTTTTTAAGAGAAGCCTGAAGTGGGAAGAAAGATTCCTATAAAGAATCTTTGTAGCGTATAGATCGGTTCAAGGTCTTCTGAAGCATGAACAAAGGTGCAGTGTATTACAAATACAACTGGGATAATATTTTCTAAAATGTCAGAGGCAATAAAATCTTGTGGTGCTCTGCTTTCAGCTAGCTATATATAGAAGAAAGCATCTAAAAGACCAAAGTCCTTGTTTTCAGAATTAAATGTCTACCATCAGGTAATCACACTGCAGATGTGGCAAATGCTTGTTGTTTCCATCAGGCTGTACCAATGCAGAGGGAGCATGGCATCTTTGAAAACTTGCTGTATTACAGGAACTCTGAATGCTACTTTCAAGTACCCTGCCAGCCTTGAATATGCTAGCTCAAGCACCCGAAATACATGCATTCAATCATTTTACAACCATAAATGGGGTCTCTGAAGCATGTCTATAATATATGGATTTGTTTGTTGAAATGGGAGAAGCATGAAGCCACAAAGTCAAGATGACTTCTGTGTGAAGAGAACTTCACATGTTGGACATACACCTGCTCAGGAGCCGGCATGGACATGATGTCACCACACAAGCAAGCTTCATATAAATAAAGAAGCTAAGATTACCTATTTATAGGATATTGGTTGACGCTGGTTGACAAAAACACCTTTCAGATGGCACAGTCATTGCTATCTATATCCTTTATATCAATTTGATTCTGGCAAAGAAAGAAAGAAAGCCAAGTTTATCTGAGCTCTCAGCAGCAAAGTGGAGCAGAATCACATGAAGACTTGAGCTTTCAAAAAAACTCTTTCCACCATGACTTAAAGACCTTCTCCTTCTTCATCTGGTCCCAGACCTTTACTCTAACAGCTTCAATCCTACAGCTCTATGGAGCGACTCAGTCTCCCCTGGGTTATTGTCACATTAGCAAGTAGAAAACAGTCAGAAGATAGTATCCTGCCATCTGTTTGTTCTGCAAAGAACACCATTTGAGAAACATCAAAACGTCTCTTCAAAGACTCTAAACTGTAATTTAAATGAAATTATGAAACATGTTTTGTCTGTGAGTTTCTACTGCTTCTTCTCAACTAAGCAGTAACTTTCCATCTACAGCTAAAAGTGAAGTCAGCTCTCTGCTTGCCATGGCAAACTGATTTCATATCAGCAGCATGCTCACAACTAGAATGAGACTTCTACAAGATAAACTAACCAGCCAAACAAACCACCACCTCTTTGCATAAACAGCAAAGGATTTACTGAAATTGCAGTGGATAATAACAAACCTTAAGAAAACAACAAATTTGGGGCCAGGAATCACCTCACAATTCAAGTTCAAAATCAATTGATACATGGTAAAATAGATCACAATTTGTTGAAAATTTCCATCACAGTTGAATTTACTCTTCCTGACACTGACTAAAGACTGGAATGACCTACAAAACGGGATTTTTTTTTTTTGTTCCAAGCAACATATACTGTAGATCAAAATACAGAGCTCATTCAAATTTAGTACATAAAGCTTTTCTAACATCACAGAAGTCAGCTGAGATAACACAGTTAGTCTTCATAGCAGAATGACAGCAAAGATCTCAGTGCAGGATCCTTTGTAGTATGTATGTCATCCTTCATGTATTTAAACTCAGTCTTGCTTTAATTCACATGGAGGTCTGTAAAAGACTGCACTGCTGTTCCATAAGCGTAACATCAGAGAGACCTTCAGTGAATGTTTTAAGCTTTGTTGCACAAAAGCATTACTCATATATGTAAAGCACCTTAACTCAAAAACAATTCCCTTTTCTCTTTTTTCCTCTTTTCTTCCACGTTGGCTTTAAGCTCATCTAATCAAATGTTTCCACCTGGTTTACAATTAATTTAACCTAAATCCAGAATAGTCTCAGTAAGATGACACTATTAAAAGCTTCTGACCAATCTTCAAAAACCGTCACTTAAAACTATCATAAATTCCATCCTGTAATCCCCCCACCCTAACTGCCTGCAGAGAGCACAGAGATTTAGTCAGCTCTCTGTTTACTCCTGTCTTGTTTACCAATTTACAGATTAACATTGGGTATATAAGAAATGATAAAGAAGGTGGGAAAATAGCACTTATCAAACAGAAGACCTGGACACCTAGAATAAAACACTAAATGGGAAACGAGAGACTAAAAAGCACACTTCATAGACTTGGTGTAGAGGTGATATAAGGTATGTTGAAATTCACTGACACACTATGTTGTATTACTGAAAAAGCAGTCTCAAAATTGTCCCAGTAAGTAGCACCTAGCCCTAAGACCAAACAAAAAAACCTGCTGTCCTCCCATTCTATCTTGTTTTTCATCTGTGACAACATGTTGTGTGAAGACTCCTGGCATATAAACCACCAGAAATCAGGACAGCAGCAAACCATGCCGCTTCTTGGACCCAAACAGATTCAAAGGCAATGACGAATTCCTACCTAGAAAACTCTGTAGCTTACCCCATTGCAGTGGTCACCTCATCTATCAATGCTACTACAGTCAAGAAAGAGCCATGGGCATCTCGCCGTCATGTAGTGCAGCACCAGCACAAGCAGAGAAGCTGTGCTTGCTTCTCCTTCCTGGACAAGTGCTGCAGACCTGAGCTGAACTGAACAGAGCTTGAGGACGCACTCAGGGGAACAAGGGGGTGCCTTACTCAGATTGTTTTAACAGCGTTACTTTTATGTACTTGGAAATTAAAGCCAGAAGGTTGCTTTTAACCCCTGCTTTGGCTAACAGCGAGAACTGGAAAATTTATTTTTAGCGCCAATATAGAGGCCCAGATTATTCTGAATAAATCCTAGGGGTAAAATACTGAATATCTATGTTTGTAATGCTAGTTTCCGCTGGAAAGTTCTATTTAAGAACTGAACCAATTTCAAATGTTTTCCTTTTGGGCAAGAAGGAAGGGGGGCAAGAAAAAGAAGGTGGAGGTTATTTTCACTCCTTTAAAGATAGCAGAACAACTAGCTGCTAGTATTCTCTCTGTCAATCTATACACATGCTTTTTGTCACTGAGCAGAAATAAGAATTTGGTTTAAGCTCCTGTGGCAAGGAAAAAAAAAAAAAGCCTCATGTTACATATTTTCTGTAGTGATTCTACGTTCTCTGTGCTGACTTAAAAGCTCTGAGAAATCTGAGTTTGAGAACTTATTTAAAAAAATAACAACACCACCACCACAGGTATACACAAAAAGGGACACTGAACCCTTTATAAACTATTTCCATTGGCTACACAGTAGTGTAAGATTTGTTTGCTTTAATGATTGTGTGAAATACAGTAGCTGTAAAGTTTTAGAAATGCTTGGTTTTCCTCCAGCAATTTAGTATTTCTATAGGGTGTTAGACCAACGCCATTGGTCATTAAATACGAACGCAGTATAGCTCAGTTACTGGAACACGATCACTGTATCAAACAGATATTTCACTGTAAAAGCAAGAAAACAGCTAACTCCTCCACTTCAGGGGAGCTTCCACAGGATTTGTTAGAATGTCAACACTGTTCAGCTAAAACACCATGGAGGAAGCTGGTACCGATTTCCAGCCAAATAGCACACTCCAACCCTTTCTTCCCAAGCCAGAAATATTATACACAGCACTTCTGGGAAACAGAACTGCTTTCCTTTAAATTATACTTCAACAGGATAGGGATTTCATAAGTTTAATTGGACTTTTGCATAACCTCCTTCCAGTATCACTCATTTAAAATATTTTGCTAGGCTTATGCATCACAAAATATATTTTAAGTTCTTGAACTGCTAATATGTATCCATTCTCCAGTTTTAAAAATAAATTTGTAGAGCATGAGAAACAGGCTTGTACTTGAGCACTGAAATTTTAATCACCCATGTTTAGTTTGGAAGCTCTTTTACGGAATGTACCTAACAAGAGATAAGGGAGTTTAAAACCTGAAAGGAGACTATTTTTCTTCCAATGTGTTTGTCAATCCCCTAAAAATTAAAATAAATTATAATGCTCTGAGATTGCAAAAATGTCAGAAACATGTACACACACATGCATATAACATGGCAACCTTACTAGCCACGTCAATAGCTAAACTACACCAATGTAGATCCTAAGGTTTGGGATCCTTATCAATATCTCACAAAAATTATCTGGACCTCTGAGTCAATGCTGACTCTTCTTTTAATTTATCTACAGGCTGCAGTAGTTTAAAAACAGACCAAGTATTTTCCTAGCATTAATTCTATCTGCTGGCAGTGACTGTCATTGCCATACTCACATAGGAAAGGTATGGTGCCACCCATGAGGTGGGTGATGGTAACTCGGAGGACATCCTTTATCCTACAGTCCTTGTCCAAGAATCACAGAATAATTTGAGTTGAAAAGGACGTTTAAAGGCCATCTAGTCCAATTTCCCTCCAACAAGCAAGAACTTCCACACTGGTCAGTTTGCTCAGAGCCCCATCCAGCCTAATCTTGAATGTCTCCAGGGACAGGGCATCCACCACCTCTCTGACAACCTGTTCCAGTGTTCCACT